AAGATTATCAACCATTCCTAGATACGTTTTAGGGAAATTAAAAAAGAAAGGAAAAAAAAAGTGGGGAAGTAGTTAAAACTAAAAGAGGTGAGGTGTTGGCTTATATTGGAAGGCAACAAAGCAAAATTTAAGAGAAAGTCGGAACCCTTTTGCCTTTGTAATGATGGCTCCCACAGCCCCACTAGCAGTACAGAAAGAGATCAAACCTCTTTCAAGTTTCAACTTGAGATATATAATAATACGTATTTAATTTTAAGATTTTAAATTTGAAAGAAAGTAGAAAAAAGCAAAAAGAAAGAAAACTGAATCTTAGCTTTGGCTCTAAGACTTGTCTCGATCAGAAGATTGTGTGTTTTCTTGTTGGTGGGCTACCATTTCATATCTTTCATTTCTCACCACCATTTTCCACACACTGATCATCTATTATTTTGTTTTCCCACCCCCACTAAAATTACACATTTACCCTTCTGCCTTGGGAAGACTTACTGTGTGCGGCTTTGAAATTTGAACTGTATATGAATTTCCATTCCATAAGATGAGCGGGTAATTAAGGCCAAGGGAACCAGCTGATTAATTAAATTACATTAGAGATGAGGAATTTCTTAAAATTACGAGTGGATCGGTTGTTTCCTATGGTTGAGTAGTGGGGGGTAAAAAGTGCAAAAAGAAAGTGGTGAAAAGGAAAAGGAAAAGGTGGAATAATGAAGTGAGAAGTAGTAGAGTAGGGATTTGACCAAAACTGAGGCTAAAGCTTAAAGCCTAACATCAAAGATGCTTCGCTCTGATGTTCTGAAAAAACAAACTCAAAACCAAACCACAAAACCCAATGCCCTATCTTTTACCTCAGCTTAAACCCCCAAAAAACCCTCTTCTATAGTCTATACTGACAAAACTGCACCCCATATTCCCATGCCCTTTGTGTTTTTGTCTGCAAATTTAAAATAAAATTACAGTTCAACTTCCACCACATGCATGCACTGACATGCACACTCATTATATCCACATCTTCATCTCATTTCATGCATACACATTACACACACCCATCTCTCTCTCTCTCTCTCTCCCTAACCTCCAACTCCCAACTATACTTCCTTTTTTTCTTTTCTTCTTTTGATCTTTTCTACTTAATAATTTATTTTTCTTTTTAATTAGTGCTTCTCTACTTCTAATCAATAATCATCTACATTTTTACATCATTACCTTTAGGTTTATGGAAACCAATGCACACAACCATCAAATGGGATGGGATTGTGTAGTGTTAGGTTTTTTCTTTTTCCTTGAATTATTCCATCATCATTGTAAGTTCATTTTTCATTCATTTCCACGTAATAATACAAAAAGAAACGGCTGTCAAAAAAAAAAAATACAAAAAGAAACGTATTTTACTTTTTACATTTATAAACGGCCTACCTCTTTCTTTCTTTTTTTTGTATTTTATTTTTTTGTTTATTTATTTAATCTCTCTCTATATATCATATTCATGTTATTCACTACAAATAAAAGGTTAATCAAATCTAAATGAATTTGCAAGTCTAGATCAAGAATGTCAAAGACAGGTGATGAACGTATACTAAACGAGTGGTTGATCCGGGAGGCAAAGCTAGGACATATTAAAGTTATTTATCTTAATTAGTATTTTAATTTAGAGAATAAAATTGCGATTGAAATAGAGAGGGATAAATAATGGGTTAAATAAGTGAATTAATATTTATTATAGATGAGGTAGGGCGTGCATGAGTGGAGTTAGTTGATTAAAGATGAGGGTGTGTGTGATGATGGAATTGATGATGGCATGATGATGAGATTAAAGGAAAAATATGAGAAATTTAGATATTTGTGTTTTGTGTTTGGTGGGGTTGAAAAATGGAGAATTATGATGAGTACATTAGAGGGAGGGTATGAAGTGGAGATCAAGAGAAGTAGAGGTTGAAGGCGTAGGAATATGAATAGGAGAAGGGAACACACACATATATATATAATATATATATAATTCCCATTATTCAAAACCCTTTTTCTTACAACACTTTTTGAGTATTGGTCCCTTACATGACGCTTTATGATCAATACCGTACCATCCACAATATAAACGTTAATTATATTATATCAAATTCCCATACCATTTTAGTTTTACATTATAATCTCACCACAAAATTATTCATTTCTTTTTTCTTTTTTATGAAAGAGATACCAATCCAACTATTCATTAAAAGGGGTATGTGAGGAACATACCAAAGAAGGAGACTAAATGAAAGCACTTTAGTTTAGCGAAAGGATAGAAATATCGTAATTACAAAATAGGGGTGACCAGGACGATGTAGCAACTCTAATATCATTCGAAATGTGTGCACATGGTCTAATAACATCTGAGAAAGTGTGGTTGTTGCATTCCAACCAAATACGTCAAAAAGTGGAACAACTGCATTACACCGTAAAACATTCTTCTTATTTTTTGCACTGGAAGAAAGGGCCTCTGTGAGAAAAGCATCAATTCTCTCCGGGAGCGGTAAAAGAACGCATTGAACAAATAGAAAACATGCTGCCAGATGGAGGTTTTGGCTCCACAAAATAATTCATTTCTCATTCTATGCTCTCTAAATATGGTAGTCCATGCAATCCTCAACCATATTATACTGTTGGAAAAATTTACTTATCAAGAAAATTTTCCCCAACATAGTTCTTAAGTGAAAGCTTAAGTCCAACAAATACAATAATAAAAGAATACGAGGGAAGCACAAAAGCGACACAAGATTTATATTAATTTACTCAATCATTGGCTATGTCAAGATTTCTGCTACATGCGGGTTCTACTAAGATTTTGGAATACAATCTCTCTCTAGAGGCCAACTAGCTTCTAGAAACTACAACATGATCCTAAGAAATAGGAATGAAAAATCTCAACAAATACTCATGAGAATTAGTTGTTGACAATGCACTGCAATCGTGAGAGCTCAATCTCTTTCTCTGCCACACAAACTACTGTTGCGACCCATTATTGTGCAACAACACAAAACTCAATTTTTTGGCTTCAACCACTAAAGGAAAAAAAACCTAAATCGAATAAACAATACTGTAGCGTCAACGCTATGAGCTCTTGGCTAGCAAGCCCTGCAACTTTCCAATCTTCAATTTCATTCCTCCTCTTCTCTTCTTCCATTGTTTTGGTGAGCCACCAATCCCAACATGTACTATAAAAAAAAAATCAATTAATTAGTATCTTTGACTGGTAATTATAAATGGGTTGTAAAATTTAGTATATGTAGATGGTATAAAAGGAAACTTGAAGCGTAATAGACATGAAGTTGAATTGTTAATTTCGTTGGAGAAAGAAAAAGAAATTAAGAAGTGGGAGTGGAATAGTTAAAAGCAAAAAGAAATGAGATTGAGAGAGAGAGGGAAATTGAATTAAAAGCAGAAAGAAAGAGAGGAAGTGTGTGTCTTCTGTGTCCTTACTAAAAAGAAAAAGAAAGAAAGAATGAATGTGGAGGGGAGCCCAAGAGCATGTGTAAGATATAAAATTGGGGGATTGACCCCTCATGCAAAAGTCCTCATATTCCCCAAATAATGATGTTCTTTCCAATGTCACTCTCTCTCTGTTTTCCCATTTCTAGAGAGAGAGACCCAAAAAAGAAAAAAAAAAAGAACTTATATATATGTATATAATATGGTTGATGGGTTGGAAAGAAAATGGTCAGCTTTTTCAGGATGAAAGAGAAATAAACACCACCAAATATAATTTGCGACCTGAGCTTGAGCTTGAGGTAGCAGTTAATATTAATGAAAAAGAAAAGCTACAAATTGGCAGAAGCTGAACCAAAAGCGCAACAATTTTTAACCAAAAAAACTGACCAAACTCTCATATTATATTATATGTTATTTTGGTGAAGTGGAGTGGAGCGGCACATGGTTAATTTGGGTACGTACCATAACCATACCAATTACCAATACCATGCCTGATGCCTGTTTATTAATATATTAAATTTCTTAATTGACAGTAATTAACAGAAGAAAAAGAGGCCAACGCCACGCCAGCCTCCTTCTCGGATGGAGGAAAAACAGCATCATCATCACTCTGTGTTTTGTTTTGTTTTGTTTTATTTTATTAATAATTGCCTATTTATTATTATTCTCCTTCTTCTCTTCTCAGTCCTTACATGTTTTGTTTAATTAATATTCTCCATTCCTTCCTTCTCATCATGCCCTTCCACTTTTTATATCTCTCTATTATAAAAATATGCTTCTCTCCAACTCCCTCCACCAAGACACACCTGTACATTCTCACTTTTTAATCACACTTTACAACTTCTATTTAGTTTTTGGTTCTCAAACTTACTTCAGCCCCAAAAATACTTGTCTACTTAATCCATCAATTAGGCTTAACTTGTTTTTATAGTTCTATATTAATTACTCCTTGTGTAACCTTTAAAATTAAACACTTATCACATTATTCAAATTTCAATTTTCTTCTATATAGATAAATATATAGAATTAGTATTAGTAACGGTTGGGTTTATAAGGAATGTAAACAAAATCTTATATTGGCTAGGGAAGGAAATGATCCATCATACATAGATGAAGACAATTATCTCTATCTGTATGAGATATTTTGGGTGAAACCAAAAGTAAAATTGTGAAAGTTATATTCAAAACGAACAATATCATACCATTATAGAGATACTTGAGGGTACGTGACAATAGCGTACTGGACACCACTTGAAAAGTTTGATGGCAGCGATTTGGAAATGAATTATGGGAGAGTAATTAGTAAAAAAGGGGGAGGGGAGAGGGTTAGGCTTGTCTTCCCCAATTCCCGAAACAAAAATGGGGATGGGGGTGGGATAATGAAAAGGACCTTTTTTGTGATATTGTAAAACAAAGAGGCTTTTTGGACACATGGCCTTTCAAAAAGTTATATATGCCATATGGTATGTTATGTTGTTTACCCTTTGATCTTTGATCCTTCATCCCCTCTTCTCTCTTCTCTTTGATTTGGTCTCCATAAAGTCAATATTTCCATTACTCATCAGATGGATCCCTCCTCCTCTTCGTCCCCACAATTCCATTAATTTTATATATATCTTTGTTTTTTTTGTTTGTGTGTGTGTGTATAGTGTATAGGTGCAGTCTTCCCTCGGCATCGGGCTGGGCCTCATCCGCAAGCTTCCAAACAAAGAGAATTAATGGAAAGTGAGATTTATTCTCTTCCCTTGTTGTCCTCTCAATATTATGTCTCTGTCCACCTCCATCAAACCAAAACCTTTATCTGCTCGATCCCCCCCTCTCTGCGCCTCTTCTGCTCTTTTCTTCTCAATTCTCATCATTAATTCCCAAATAATACCATTCTTTTTTCTTTTTTCTCACCTCAATTAAATCAAACCATATGCCTTCTTCTTCTTCTTCTTCTTCTTCTTCTTCTTCTTCTTTGGTGTTGGGTTTGAAATATAACCAATCTTCCTGCAGCTGCTAGCATGATCCAACATGGTTCCTCCTCAAAGTCTAAATCATGATCAAAATCTTCACGCCGCCAGTTATGGTGGCTTTGCCTTCAATATTTTCTCACAGCAAAATACTACTTTGGGTGTGATGAATCGGTTTGAGGGTTTTAACAATCATCATCTTCATCATCATCATGATTCTACTACTAATTCCTTCCTCCCCGAAGAAGATGAATCCACCGGCCCCCATACTCTCAGCGACACTCCTAAGGATGTCCTTCTCCAAGACGCCGCCGATAAGAGCTGGCTCCGCCTTAGCATCGGCGCCGACGACAAACATGATGCAGCTCAACCACTGGATATATTACCTGGCGATGGCGGAGGCGGCTCCAAATTCGGGCTTGAAAACGAGTCGTTTGGCGCAAGGGAGTTTTCGCCTCCGGCCGAGGTTAACTGGAGTTTCACGCCAATGATCTCCCACAACCACAACTCCTCCTCCTCCTGTTCTTCTTTTGTTCCATTTGGGCCCTACTTCTCCAGGCCCTTCCAACTCCACACTGGAATTGACTTAGTCGCCGCGGCGCCACCCGGACCTAGCTCTGATACCATCACAGTTATCGACCCTCCTCACCGGCCCCATTCTGGGATTTGGTTTACGCTTCAACCATTGGAATTCAAGCAGTAATTAAGATCTCAAAATCTCTATTTCCAATACTTAATACCATTCCAACTTCCAACTAACTGAGATTTCTTCTTTTTGGTTTAATTTTGGAAATGCAGAGGGAGTTTTCCTCACAGATCCAGCACCTACTTGAGAATCAAGTATATATGTGTATATTTTTTGTTTACATAAATTCAATATTATTCGTTACCTAGCTTAGCTTCAGCTTGTGGAGTTTTGCATCAGTGTGTAATCTGTTATTAATATAATCTAATTATGGTTTTGATTTTGTCTTTTTGTTGTCCTCAAGGGATGGAAGGATGACAGTTCGATTACTAATCAAGTATCTGGTGAAAAAGCTCAGACTTGATAGCGAATCACAGGTAAACCCTTCTTCTTCCTTTTCCTTTGATTATTGCTGAATAATTTTCGCATCATTTTCTAATTTATTTTTCCTAAATTATATATCTTCTATGGATCTCTTTGTTTAACCTTTAACCTTAACCTCATCTTCCTTTGCAAGAGGGTTCTCTCTCATTATTTTTTTTTCCCATTTACATTACAAGTATAAAAATACAAAGAAAAGAAAAAACTAAACTTTGTATTATTACTTTGTGTTGAAAATTAAAGCTTTTGTTGTCTTGTCGATATCTGGGGAATTGGGTCTTTTCTCTACAAACTTGGCCACAAGCTTTTCATTTCTGGTTCGTTATGAATAGGAATGCTTTTTTGTTTTTGGGGTTTTTTTTTTCTTTTTTTTTTTGTTGTAACTCGAAACTAGCAATATAAAGTGAAAGTTAAGAGAACTAAAAAATGATGGATTAATGAAGTGCAAAACAAAAAACACACCAACCAACAAAACAACCGCTCCCTTTCCCAAAACCTAGAAAATTTATATTACAAATTTATAAACTTACAAGTTAGAAGAGTGCCAGGGTTGCTATTTTAAGAATGAAAGCAACTTCTCTTACTCATTCATAGCTGTTCCTCAACTGCATATAGCGAACACCCAAAGCAACAACCTTAAAAAATCCAAAAAAAAAAAAACAGTCATAACTTTAACGCCTAGGTTATGTTGCAGCTGTAGCTACTACATTTAGAGAGATTCATGAATTGAAGAGAGTTTAAAGAATGCAATATTATTGAAATGTAATGATTTTAGCTATCATATCCATATACATGTTAATACTGCAATGAATTCAAACTACTAAATGCTTTATGATGTGCCCAAATCAACATTATCCCTAGCTAATAGTGTGAAAGATCAGAAGTCTTTGAGTTCATATTCTTAGCTTTTAATTCCGTCTTAATATTCTTCGAACTTTTGGGTTTGATGAGGGTGATTTAACAGTACTATAAAGTGAAGAAATCATATATAACTTTTGTTTTTTCATATTTTGATGTTTGTTATGTATGTGTGTAGCTATATAGAGGAGGTTATAATAGTTGAGGAGTAGATGAATGATGGTAGATTGGTCACTGAAACAATTGTTGCATTATATTGCTTCTGTTTTACACTTGATGATGAAATACCCACTATTATATGTCTTCTTTCCTAATAATTGCGTTGCCCTAAAAGTTTTCTTACTACGCATTATAAATTTATTTTCATTATTTGTGCCTAAAGTTACCCTAGTTTCGCACGAACGCAAGTTTTTCTCTTTATCTACACATCACATATCATACCATATCAATTTCCCTTCTACATTCATTCATTTCAAATTTTTTTCCTTTAAAATAGGAGGAAAAAACCATATCTTGTGACAAACTCCTCAATTCTCCTTTTGAAAGTGGAATATATACAATATAAATATAAAAATCAGGAAGACTTAAATGTTAATGCTTGATTTAATTTCACTATTGACGATTAGCTTAATTAATTATAGACGATTGGTTTTTGTATATATTTGTTATGTTTCGAAATGTTAAATGGTGATATGGTACACGTATAACCCCCAGTTAAAGATATAAATAGACATATTTAATAAGAACATGAATCATGCATGCATGATCATATGATGTATAAAGTATAAACATGTTAATTATTCCCATGATGATCCTTGAAACACATTTGAATGGAAGGTTTCCTAATTCCTGTTAAGCAAATAATTAATTAACTTGTGATGAAAGGTATATTTGTCTTTATTAATAAAACTAATATTCTAAATTAAAATAAGCAGTATTTTTAGTACAACGATACATGTTAATTAAGCTAAGTTGTGTGTTGGTTACAAATACATATGTGTGATTATTTAGGATAATGTGTGAGATACCCAACATTCCCTTCCATTAAACTAAACCAAAAAATTGTGTGTTAAGTAATTATTGTTTTATTAGAGGTCAACTCTAATTATGGGTTTATGGATGCATAATAGTATTTTTCGTTTGTTGTCTTCTTGCATGCGCTTCATGTCATGAACATACAGCTATTGCATATACCTTATTCTATTGAGAGAGAGAGAAAGAGAAGACTTAGGATAACGGTTGACTAATTAGGGATATAGCTCTCATTCTGATCTCCTTCCTTGTACAAATTAAAGAAAAGGAAACTCTAAGTCCACCGTTTAAGGTACGAAATTTGTATATCTCCTCCACGTAAACTTTGGGCAATAATTAAAATCCCACCCAACAAAACCCAGAACAACTTACACTTATTAATTATTATGTAGAAATTGATTTTTACCCGAAGATATTGAAGTAAATAATAATGGATATGGTGTGTTTGTACGTGGCAACTACTTATTGGTATTATATATATTGGAGGACATACAGAGATTGAGAATGGGAGTGGCATGCATGGAAAATGCAGATGGTACTTTTTTTTTTTTTGTTTCCTTAAATAATAGAGTGAATACATATATAAATTAGGGAAAAGGAAAAGAAAAAGAAGAGGTAGGGAAGGTGAGATTGTGATTGTTTGGTGGTTTCTTATGTCATGCTTGGGTGTGTGCCACCTCAGCCATATTTTAATTTTGTTGTGGAATAAAATTGAGTGAGATGTTAATTAATTAATTGGGTGTTGGTGGTGTGTTCTGTGGGTGCAGATAGAAATAAGGTGCAGAGGGGAAAAGCTGGAACCTTGCTTGACGATGCAGCATATAAGAGACAATATATGGACCTCCAAACACAAAAACTCTCTTACTTTGCTTCCACATTCCTCAACCATTCATCACATTATGGTTCTTCACTACGCCACTCCTTAATTCCCTCTCCTTCTTTCTATTTATGCCACATTAATTATATATATATTGCACCTCACCCCTCTCACTCCTCGCTTTATTTATCATTATCATTATTATTTACCCCTAATCCCTTGTTAATTATTACTTTCTTTTCTCACCTCCTTAATTATTTCCTATCCTACACTCTCTCCACCCATCTTCATGTTAATTTGCAGCAAGGTGAGTGTACATCTGCCGTAGTTGATATATATCTCTAATCAAGAGGTTGTAGGTTCGATTCTCCACTTTGGTAAAAAAAATCTCATCTAACACCTATATCACATGACTTGAGAGCCCCAACTCTCCCTCAAGCAGTAWCTAACAGATTTTTTCTTTTGATCCTCCCCCTTCTTCTTCTGAGCATAAGACAAGAAAAGCATACAAAAATTAAAGCATTATATATATATATATTCACTAGGAAGAACCCCACCTCTTCATGTCATAGCCCATTTTTTTTTAAAGGAAACCATTTCATTAAGAGGTATGCATACAAAAAAGAGGCTAAACAAATGCTCTCCAGTTAAGCGAAATGGTCTATATATCATAATTACAGAAGAAGAGGAGATTTTGAAGACCGTGAAGATGTTAAGGTCTTAATATCTTCCCACAACATTGCTCCAAAGGATGGATCTTCTGTTGCGGTTCGGGTCACCTCTTCACGTCATAGCCCTACACATTATTTCCTCTCTCTAACTACAAATATCTCTAGGGCCAACACAAAATCCCCTTTCATACTAAATACCCGATCCCTCTTGTCTCACACACATACGTATCTCGCGATTTRGGATTTATCATATTGTTATTCCTTCTCACTTTTCTTTTTTCTCTCCCTCTTTAATCTCAATAATATATGTGGTGGAGATTTTTCAAACGTCTTATCTTTTGATAAACAGTTGAACTATGCTCAATTTGACATTGTTTGTAATAGGGGCATGTATGTATGTTTACTTGCTTTTTTTTACCTTTATTTACATATACTTTTATTTCATAATTATTCTAGTTCTTTAATTGTGACGCTTCATGCAATAACTGGAGACAACTGCCTCCACTTTGTTGCATATTCAAAGTGTATATTTAAATGCTTTAAGATTTTATAGTTTTTCTTCTTTAGTTTATCCCCTGAAATATAATTTTAATTAGAATTGAAGTTATAGGTCTAAAGTTTTAGGGGTAGAACTTTGCCGAAAATTTTCTGTTTCACCCCTGGTCATAATGTAGTGGTTAAACTTTAAATTTGACCAATTATATTACTTAGCATAACAAAAAATTGTCAACGTCCATCCATTAGTTCTGCTAATAAGTTTATTGATTCCACTATTTTTTCTTAGTCTTGAAATATTATAAAAGAATTGGAAAATAGTTGTGAAGTAAGTTTTAAATTAAAAAAAAAAWTTAATTTCAAAATTTAAAACTGTKGTGCCAAGGTGGCTAAATTAGTAATAGTGAAATATAGTGAATGAAGATATAGAAATAGTAGCACAGTAGTGAGAGAATAATGTTTGGAAAAGTAATGGCGATGAATGTGGATGAATCGATGAGATCACATGGGTCGGACTGAGCCCAAATAAATGTACGGACAGAGGCATCAATCGTGGCATGGGCTTGAGCTGCACTCTTGGCTCTGCGGATCATAAGAGCCCATTTAGTAATGTTGATATTTATTCATTTCTTCTTTTTTAATATAGAAAACAATTATATTTGGAAAATAGTTTTTATTTCTGGTTCTTTATTTTCTATTAAAAAAGAAAATAAAAACATTTCTTATTTTTTATCCTCTACCATTTTCAATTCCGATAATGATTTTTGTTTTTAGTTTTCCATTTTTAGAAATTATGCCTGTTTTCTCAATTTCTTTGATATGTTTTTCACTTTTTCTTTATTGTTACCTAAATTTAAAAAAAAAGTCTATGCAAACTAATTCTTTGATTTTCAAAATTTGGTTTAGATTGTGAAAAAGTTTTTATAAGATGGTAACAAGATAAAGGAATATATGTGGAAGTACTAGTTGTAACCTTAATTTTCAAAAATAGAAAACAAAAAAAGTAAATAATTATCAAGTGAGGCCTAAATTTTTAAATTAAATATTCAAAAATTTTATATTTTATTTATTTATTTTAATATTTATCATGCATTACATAAGTAAGAATGATAAAATAACACGGAAACATGAAACAGGAACAATAAACTTGGGATCCATTTGATGTTTGTTCCTGTTTCTCATTAAGTTGTGTTGATTGATYGTCCTTTGACCCAATCTCCATGATCACGAGTCTTGAAAATTTCTTCTCTAAGCTCATCGATGTTAATTTTTTTTCTCTATTTTTGAGTTATCTCATGTCTATTTCCAAACTTGGGATCCATTCGATAACATTATTGTTTCTTGTTCTGTTTCTCATTTTTTAAGTTGTGTTGATTGATCGTCCTTGACCCAATCTCCACGATCACGAGTGTTGAAAATTTCTTCTCTAACCTCATCGATGTTAATTTTTTTTCTCTATTTTCGAGTTATCTCATGTCTATTTCCAAAAGTTTTGTAAAAGGTTTCCAAAAAGAGGTTGAAAAACCTAATTTTATAAAAAAAAAATACTGCAATTGCACCAAAACGCTGTATAGGAAAAAGGCAGGCAGAAGAGAAGAGAAGTTCGAAGTGCCACAGTACCAGTGCCTACTTTTTGTGTGCCACCATATTGTTCTTTAGGGTATTTGGGCTTCAAAAACCGTTTAATAATGATTATCCTCTCAATTTGATTAATTTATATCCAATTTTCTCATGATTATTCATTCGTGCAAAATATATCTTATGTACGTAAATCTATCGTAAAGAAGCAAAAGTTAATAAATAATTCCAATTTCTCATGAAATGTAACTTGCATATTGCACTATCATATAGTTTTATAATTTCCTCTATAATAATCAAACACTTAACTCATGACTGAAAAATATCAAACTCGAACTCCCGAAGGTACCATCTATTAGGGGTGTAATATGAATAAGAAGAGTGAAAAATAAATGTATGTGCGTGCCTGTGACTCTCCTGAGACAGTGTCCAGATTGTTATGCCTTTGGTGTGGATCGGAATTTATCCGACAAGGAATTTCGCTACCTTTAGACTGTTATAGTTACGATCGCCGTTCACCCGGGCTTCGGTCGCCGACTCCCCTTGTCACTGCGACCCCCTTTGTGAGGAGGCATCCCGAACTACTTCACCTCACTTACGAAGAAGTAGTTGGAGCTGGACAACGAACTATGAGAGTTTGCGCCAAGCAATCAATTAAGCTCTTTCTGTATCTACCGAATCATTAGAACTGTAGGCCCGGCCTGTTGACCTTAAAGACACGAGCTCAACCATTTGAAAAGTAGGAGCATCAACCATTTGGGTGTACATTTAGAGATGGATAAATTTTCTTTTTACCCTTATTTTTATGTAAAGGATCTAGTAGGTTGGGTAGCTTTTGCTATCTTTTTTTCCATTTGGATTTTTTATGCTCCTAATGTTTTGGGGCATCCCGACAATTATATACTTGTTAATCTAATGCCCACGAATTAGAAGAGATGTCAACTGACAATCATAGTTGAAAACAACGATGGTGGATATTGTTACCATCACTGTAGAGCAAATAAAGGTTGGGATTCAGTGGTGTGATGTTAAGAGGCATTAAGGTCTTTTTGAAAACTTATGAGAGAATGGATAATAGGAGTTGGGCCAGGAGGGAGAGGCCCATTGGAGGCCCATGTCCAGGAGGAATTTATATGTGGGCATTCTCTTCTCGGCAGCTGAGAGCAGAGACAGAATGGAACTAGTGGCGCACAGCAATTGGGAAGTGCGATGACTATGACGCTCTCTCACTTTAACTTTTCCGGATCGCTGACGTGTACGGCCAGATTTCATTTAACTGAGCATTCTTAGATTCGACCTCGTCCTTATGCATGCCCTCTCCGCCCCACTTCCCTCACCTCACCCACCGCCACTCTTTTCTTTCCTTTTTTTCTTTTTCTTTAATTTGATTTTTCTCCCGGTTCTTTTATAAAAATAAAAAATAAAAAAAACCTCTCATTTTTATTTTGCGCTTTTGCCTCGCTATAGTATTATCTGTATCTCCTGCTTTCGCCTCTGTTTCGAAACGGCTTCAAATTCATAGGTCAATCTTTTTCTTTTTAACTTCGCGGGCGGAATACAGATCACAGATCAATTTTCTTCCCAACTCGGTTTTCCTTTTTCTTTTTCTTGTTCTTTTTCCAATTTTAACTCTGCTTTTCTGATCGGGAAACAATACGTCTTCTTTCTTCTACTTGGATCTTCGACGAAAGTAGAACAAATCCTCCAATTCATATCAAGTTTAATGTAATTTTTTAACGTTTGAGTCTAATTTCGTTGGAGATCGGCTTCTCTCTCGGTTGTTGCTTCTTCCAGAATTTAACAACCTAATACTATATATGGTAATTTTCGGATCTGATTGTGCCCAGTGGAACATTTGTCCAAAATTTTCAACAAACCCTAGCTGGGGTTGATGGGGAAAGACGAGAGTGTTAAAATTGAAGACGTCGAAGAAGGAGAAATCTCTGATACAGCTTCAGTGGAGGAGATCAGTGAGGAAGATTTTAATAAGCTTGAAACTGGTGCTAAGCTGGTGCCTTCCAAGGATTCCAATCGGGAGCCTAGAGTTTGGACCATGAGTGATTTGTATAAGAATTATCCGACCATGTGTCGTGGTTATGCTTCCGGTTTATACAATCTAGCCTGGGCACAGGCAGTGCAGAATAAGCCTTTGAATGATATTTTCGTTATGGAGGCCGACCCCGAGGAGAAATCAAAGCGCTCTTCGTCTCCCTCTCCTCTTGCGAATGGCAACAGCACAAAAGAAGAGGGTAAAGTCACGATTGATGATAGCAGTGATGAAATGGATTACGGTAATGCGAATGTCGAGAGAGAGGAAGGAGAATTGGAGGAGGGTGAGATTGACATGGATACAGAGTTCGTCGAAGAGGTTGTTGAGTCCAAAGCAATGTTGTCCGACTCCGGTGATACGGATTGTGATGGCCAAGAGTCTGATTTGGTAAAGAAGGAATTGGACGACCAGGTTAAATTGATTCAGAAAACATTGGATGGCGTTACAATCGATGCTGCACAGAAGTAAGTGAACCGATCTTCTTGAGTTTTGGATCAAGGGATAAATGGTGCTGTGATGTGTTCTCCGACATGAACTTACTCGGTTGCTGGAAAACTTACGATCTGATTTATTTCTTGTGTAGATCTTTTGAGGAAGTTTGCACTCAATTGCATAGTTCTATAGAGATATTTTTGAAATTGCTCCAGGAAAAGGTATTCCCAGRAAAGGATGCGCTCATTCAACGACTATATGCCGCTCTTCGAATAATCAATTCTGTAAGGCACCCCAAGAATCTCTAGCTTTCTTTATTTCGTTCGGCCAGTGAATTTCATTTTTTCCGGGAAATCTTATTTAATGCGTAATATTAAATTGTCCATAATGGCAATGAACGCTGGAGACGTTTAATTTTCATCTCAGGTGTTCTGTTCCATGAACCTCAATGAAAAGGAGGAGTATAAGCAACATCTATCCAGGTTCTACTCATCCTAGTCCATAATTTTTTTTTTTTCCCATGCGATGAAGTGTTAGTCCTTTTGTTTAGTATCCAACCACTTACTGTGACGTTGTTCATAGGTTGCTTTCTTATGTTAAAAATTGCAATCCTCCTCTCTTTTCGCCTGAGCAGATAAAATCGGTATTGTATACTATCCTTAGTATGCTTGTTATTACTCCTTGTGCTGATGTTGGTATCTCTATATTATGGAGGAGATTGTAGTATGGTGCTAAGCTAAAGCCGGAATATTTTCTACAGGTAGAGGTCAAAATGCCATCTACAGATTCCCTTGACTATTTATCCATCATAAGAGCCAATGCTAAAGAGGCCGAGATCCATATACCTAATGGGGTGAAAAATAAGGATTTTTATTCTGGATCTACAAATGCTGGTCCACATTTGACTTCTTCAACAAAGTTGCCTTCGGACTCCATGCCTGTTGGGGTTATGGCAAAAAATAACCCAAACATCTTATCCGATGGTTCGCAGTCTGGAGTATCTAATTTAAGGGGTAGGGGTCCCCTTCTCCCTCTGTTAGACCTTCACAAGGATCATGATGTAGACAGTCTTCCGTCACCTACGAGAGAAGCTCCTTCAATTTTTCCTGTCCAAAAATTAGGGAATACCCCTCCAAAGGTAGCACTTGCTATGGATGGATCTAGATCACATCCTTATGAAACTGACGCCCTTAAAGCTGTTTCTACCTATCAACAGAAGTTTGGTCGAAGTTCCTTTTCAATGGCTGATAGACTTCCTAGCCCAACCCCCTCAGAGGAATGCGATGGGGCTGGTGATATTGGTGGGGAGGTTTCTAGTTCTTCCATTATCAGAAGTTTAAAGGCTTCAAATTCACCTAAACTGGGTCAAAATGTTTCAAATTCTGCTTCTAACATATCTGCAGGTTATTTTCCTAACATGGAAAGTTCCAGCATTAAAGGACTTATTAGTCCTATAAACGTTGCCCCCCCTAGTTGTGTGTCTAATCCAACAGTAAAGCCTCTACCAAAAAGTAGAGACCCTAGGCGACGCATCATCAATTCTGATGCAAGTGCTTTGGATCTTAATCCACGCACAATTGCTTCAGTGCAGAATTCTTCGATTGCAGAATCTGATGCAACCATAAACTTGAGAAAGCAAAAGATGGGCGAGGAACCTAATGTAGATGGCCCTGAAATGAAAAGGCAAAGGACCGGATCTCAGAATCATGCAGTAGCTGCAAGTGATGTGAGAACTGGAAGTGGTGGCTGGTTGGAAGATACTATGCCAGTTGGACCCAGGCTTTCAAGTAGGAATCAGATGGAAATTTCTGAAGCAGATGCAACTGAAAAATTGAATGTTACAAACAATTCTGTTGCTGGAAATGAGTGCACGCCTAGTATTAGTGCTAGTAATGATGCTTCCTTGCCCTCACTATTGAAAGATATTGCTGTGAACCCAACCATGTTTCTAAGTTTACTTAAAATGAGCCAACAACAGCATTTAGCGGCAGAATTGAAACTGAAGTCAAGTGAACTTGAAAAAAATGCAATTTGCCCTACGAGCTTGAATCCCTGTCAAGGATCAAGTCCACTAGTAAATACTCCTTCAGTGACCTCAGGAATTCTGCAGCAATCAACAGGAACGTCAAGTGTACCTTCACCACCGGTGGCTACTGTGGTAGGTGGTTGATTACATCATAATGCTGAAATATGTGTTATATTCATATGCTCACGATATGTCCGTCTATTTGGCAAATGGTGCCGCTTTCCTCTCCCCATGTGCAATATTAAATTTCTCATTGCTGCTTGTCGCCTTTGATTGATAAAATATTGCTTCCCGATCAAGTGGTTGGTAATTTCCTATCAAATGTGACAATTCCTGTTATTCAAACCTATGGTGGAAGGTCCTTTTTCCACATTTTCTGGCTCGTTTTTATGCTGTTGAAACATTGTGACATTGTTTAATTATCTCTCTGTAGTGGAGTATCTATATATTTTATTCTAGATTGATAATGTACTTATTTTAGATCTTGCACGTGTTTCATCATGTTCAGAGTCGACAGGATGATTTGGGAAAAGTTCGTATGAAACCTCGTGACCCTCGCCGTATCCTCCATGGTAATTCTCTTCAGAAGGTTGGGAACTTGGGAAATGAGCAGTCAAAGGGTATCGTGCCTACTGCCCCAAACACAGAAGGAAGTAAGGACGTACCAAATGGCCATAAGCAAGAAGGCCTTGGAGATTTGAGATTAGCTTCTTCACAATCAGTACCACCTGACATTACGAGACCGTTCACTAAGAATCTGAAAAATATAGCTGATATCTTGTCTGGTTCCTCACCACCAACTTCTTCACTGAGTTCATCATCAAAGCCAGTTAAATTGGACAGGATGGATACTAATTCTGTAGGGTCAAGCTCTATAGATAGTAAAGTTGTGACAACTGCTACCCAAGCAGTAGATATGGTTGGCCTCTCTCGTTCACAGGGTACATGGGGAGATCTTGAGCATCTATTTGAGGGTTACGATGACAAGCAAAAGGCTGCCATCCAGAGAGAGAGGGCAAGACGGATAGAAGAGCAGAAAAAAATGTTTGCTGCACGCAAACTCTGCCTTGTTTTGGATTTGGATCACACACTTCTTAATTCAGCAAAGGTTATTTCTTATCGATAATTAAAACTGATTTCACTATCAACTTGGAATTACAATTCTATAAATTGATATGATCTTATTCTCTAGTTTGTGGAAGTGGAACCAGTGCATGATGAAATTTTGAGAAAGAAGGAGGAACAGGATCGTGAGAAGGTGCAGAGACATCTTTTCCGTTTTCCTCATATGGGAATGTGGACTAAACTGCGGCCGGGGGTCTGGAATTTTTTGGAGAAGGTATGTTAAACAATTCACACTGTTTGTCTTGAATACTACCAGTCAAAATAGTTGAAGACTGTGTTAGTGTGGTACTAAATGAATTGAGTTGTATTGGATGTTGAATGCGTATATTGGTGTTTGTGTTCTCTTTTGCATTTTAGGCCAGTGAGCTTTATGAACTTCATTTGTACACTATGGGAAACAAGTTATATGCAACAGAGATGGCAAAAGTGCTTGATCCAAAAGGGGTTCTGTTTGCTGGACGAGTTATTTCTCGGGGTGATGATGGAGACCCATTGGATGGTGATGAGAGGGTGCCCAAGAGTAAGGATCTGGAGGGTGTTTTGGGCATGGAATCTGCTGTTGTTATAATTGATGATTCCGTTAGGGTGTGGCCACATAACAAATTGAACTTGATTGTTGTAGAAAGGCAAGCATGTCATCCATCCCTCTAAACAAATAGATGTTATTTATTGTTTGGTAACCTCACGACTTTGAGAGCTCATGAATTTTCTTGTGCCGACTGTCAATGCAGGTATACTTACTTTCCATGTAGTAGGCGCCAGTTTGGGCTTCTGGGTCCTTCTCTTCTAGAGATTGATCATGATGAGAGACCTGAAGATGGTACTTTGGCATCTTCACTGGGGGTAATTCTATGGCTCCACTTGTTTACCGTATTGCTAAGATTTAACCTAGTTATCTATTAATCATCTTAAATTTTGGTCCATTAGGTTATCCAGAGAATCCATCAAACTTTTTTCTCCCATCCTGAATTAGATGAAGTAGATGTTAGAAATATCTTGGCCTCCGAGCAACAAAAGATTTTGGCTGGTTGCCGTGTAGTGTTTAGCAGGGTTTTCCCGGTTGGTGAGGCAAATCCTCACCTGCATCCATTGTGGCAGACAGCTGAACAGTTTGGTGCGGTGTGCACCAACCAGATTGATGAACAGGTTACCCACGTCGTTGCAAATTCTCTTGGGACTGATAAGGTAGTTTTCCGCTCATTTTAACTATGGACTATGGACTGGTGTTTTGTACTTTGGAATTCTTTCTATCAGTTTTTTTTTTCTTTTCTTTTCCCAATACCTATACACTGTCGGTGAGAAAATTTTGTCGAAAACTCTTTGCAACTCTCAAAATTAGATATTAGTTGGCAGTCAGTCAGTTTGAGGGTAAATTATCATTGGATTTGGGGTATCCATATAACGTATATCTGTTGACGTTTCTGGTTGGAATTGTTTGTTTTTGACAGGTGAATTGGGCTCTCTCCACTGGCAGATTCGTGGTCCATCCAGGGTGGTGAGATATTCTTATACCAAGTTTCCCATTGTCTTATGTGAATTTTAGAAGTTTGGAGTTGAGTTTTTATGTTTGTTGGGTTTAACCTTTGTGAGTAATGATGGCACAGGGTGGAAGCATCGGCTTTGCTCTACCGGAGGGCCAATGAGCAGGACTTTGCCATTAAACCATAACCACCGCTACCGGCAGCCTTTTAACACCCTTGGATAAACTAAAACTGAAAGATTTTAACACAAAGATGATGATATAACACGGGGAAGAAATTCAACACTATGCCTTAGGCAAAGCCTAAGACTAGGAGACGAGAAACATTATAACCCACCCCCCATCTAAACACGCCCTACAACTACAAGTAGAAGAATGTGTGGAAAGCCCAGAAAGAGAGAGATTGATTACACTGCCCCCATTGAATTTGGAGACGTAGCTTTGGGGGGTTAGATTTGAAATAATCAGTCAATGGAGTGGAATTACATAGAGAGAGAGAGAGAGAGAGAGAGAGAGAGAGAGAGAGAGAGAGAGAGAGAGAGAGAGAGAGAGAGAGAGAGAGAGAGGGGACGGGGACGGGGACGGGGAACAGGAATTTGGTTAAATTGTGACTTTTCCGCCTTCCTTTTTCCACTGGTGGGGCTCAGTCTCTATGCCCAACTCAACGTGGTCGGAGGATTTTTAATATTTCCTTTTTCTTTTCGCTTTGAATATTTGGTTGGAATTGCGTGAGAGAACATTTTGGATTTTACTCATTTTAATTGTTGGTGGCCGAGTGAGTGGTTGTTGCCTATAAATCGCAGAGAATAAGATGAAGGGGCAAAAACACAAGGTTGGTTCGAGGAGAAGAGAATTGTGTCTATATTTGGCAGATTTGTGTCCGTTTTAGTGAGAAGATAAATCATTGTGGCACTGGCGATTGCGTAGAGGAAGGTGGCAGAGGATATGTTTGTTTATACACTTATGGTTTGGGAGCTGTGGGGCTGAGTGAGGACTGGCCCACTACCACACCACAACGGCTTCGGCTCACCTTTATAAATGACAACGACAACCCGCATTTTTCATAGTTCTATTTTTCCCAATAAACTAAAACAATTATTAATCTTTTAAAATTGACGTATATTGGAAACCAACTTTTTTTCTAATTTAAATTATTAAAGAAGTACCAATACGTTCCTACAATATTTTTTAAGTATGAAATATGTTAAATTATACATGTGACGGTATTAATAAGCTTCACCGACAATTTTACCACGTTTTCAAAATCCTGAGAAATTTTCAAAAATTTAAACATTTTTTTTCCTCGGGACAGAGGATTCGAACCAAGTCAAACTCCTAATTTGGTGAGAGATTGGCGTCAATTATTGTTGCCAAAATATTGTTTCTAGGATGCAAAAGATCTTAGGGGGGTGCTTCTGAGACTTCGTAGAATTTATTTGGTGGAATGGAAAGAAAAATATTTCTAGATCATGCCCACGTCTTTCAATTTTTGTCAAAAATACTTCATATATTTTGATAAATGGTGATTTTAAACAGTAATGGATACAATAATTTTTCTATAAAATTTGGCAAAAAGTTTTTTTTTTATATAGTAATATTGCATGGGTTAATCTGTCAAAAAGAGAAAATGGGGAATATTGCATGGGTTAAAAATTGTCCTTTTGCCCATGTTGGTCACATGAGATTGAGATGAAGCATCGAAACATTTGGTTGGTATACTTGTTAAGATTACTGAATCATCTTGCATAAGCCTTATGCAATGGAATGGTTGGTAGTGAGAGAAGTCAAAGCACAATGGATGATTTAGATGATGCTATAGAAGCCGCAAAGTTAGGATTTAGGAATCCCTCAAAGTTAATGCTATTGCTAAGACTAATTAAAATGATGCCGTCAAATAGTGTGTAGATCTTCGGATCATCATTGTCTTGTGTATTCTATGCTGACGCAATTGATGGTTTTTGCATATAGTGTTTCGATACTTCTAAATCTCCATCGTAGCTGAAGCATTTGAGTTTGTAGAATAACTGATACTAAGTTCAAAATTAAGTGTATTGATTATGACTCAAGTGTAGGCATTGAAGGCATGGAAGGATGAGTATATGACGAGACCTAGCCACAAAATCATTTTGGCCACAAGGATTATGATTCATGATCTAGTAGGCCTCATTAAAGTCATTCTACCTACATAGGTTAAATCCTTTAACTCCTCTCAAAGTTAAATAAGAGATAGATTTGCATTGAGATTTTACTCTAAATTATTTGACTTTACATGGAACCTATGTCTAATCAACCTAATCTAATCAATTTCAAGGTTCGTGGTTGGAAGGAAAAAATCATAAATCTTTCATGATTTTTTAACCCCAAGGAAAGTAAGGCCTGTGTTGAGTTCCAACTGTAGAGTCATTTGTCTCGGCATAGTAGTCTGCCATGCACAAGCAGTGAGCCCCAAAGGTCCTTTGTCAAATATGTCTCATCAATTGGATATATGTATGTATATAATATGTATATGTACGCATGTGTATGTTGTATATGTGTGTGTGTGTATATATATATATTTCCTTTTTTTTTCATGATTTTRCAATCATAAATAACTTTGGTTAATGTAGGGCCGGTTTGACAATGTTGATGTTTCTTATTTTCATTTTCAATTTGTTCCGACATAAATAAAGATTTTGTTTTATCATTTTGAATCTATGGGTCACGTTGAGGGCTATGAAATTTTATTTTTCTTTATTAAAAAAAGAAAAAATAAAAACAAGAAACGAGAGAGTTATCAAACAAGCCGGTAAATTACGATTCCACAGTCATATAGGTTAAAACCCTTGTGATGACACTTGGTCCCAAGACACTCAAGTAGTCAAGTCACCTAGCTCAATATTGTGGGCATTTTAATGCCATCATGATGTATGTCCCAAATACCAAACTAAGAGAACAAATTCCATATTCCTCAATTTTGTGTTGAAGCCTATGAGAGTCGTAACCATCGACATAGTTGTTTAAGTTTACCAAGCTAAACCTCAAAAGTCCTTTGTTAGCTCCCAACATTGGAAGTAATTTACTCATCAACTTGTTTCGTCTTGCACTTTTATTTCCTTATGCTTATTGTYGATATGACCGATGGACTTACACAATAGCGAACTGTTTAAATGATTTGTTTTTAACGAAATAATTTTGTATATGCGAACYGTAAAAATAAAATTGCATCTTTTTATTACTATATATGAGAAATTTATTATAACAATAGATGAATGGACTTATAAAATTGATAAGAATGAGATAATTCTACCCAATTTTGATAATGTACTTGAAACAAAAATGACTTTATATACCAAATTTTAAACTATATATTAACAAATATCACCACCTCTGGTAATGAAAAAAATGATATACTCTAAATTTATGTTAGACATAATGTTAGAACCAAGGTACTAAAAGTCGACCAACACATCSATATGTCAATATGTCGAAGAGGTGGACATCGACAAATGGGAGAGAATCTTTTTTCCTCCCTCGTCGTAGATATTTTTTTTTCTGTTTTTTTCTCTCTCAACGATTCCTCTTCCTCTCATTGGCTCTTATCGGATTCTGGATGGAGGACTAAACCTGCATGTCTTCGCTTGACTCTCAGCCCCCCGATTCATGATTTCGTCAGTTTTGGGAGTACCATGAAAATGGAAGTCGACAAATTGGTGGAGTTCTGGCACGAACGGGTGAATAGCAGCACAAACTTCCTGTGTGTGTTGAGATCCGACGTTGTTAAGAGAAGAGGAGCGACGATATTGATCAAACAAGTGGGAGAAATTGGGAATGAAATTGTGGTGTGGATTTAAACAATACTGTTCCACCCTGCAGTAGCTGTGTTTTTGATGCACTGGTTAAATAAAAAATAACTTATATTATGTTTTATTTTATAATTTATTTATTTACTTAATAAAGAATTGGGTCAAATATTGTGTGTCATTTCTATGCTTCAGCGTGGATTTAAACTCAGACAAGTAGATGGCTGTGATGTAGAAAATTTTCTTCTTATTTAAATATTTTATTTTAAATTACCACCCCCATCATTTTTTTTTCAAAAGGTAGTTCAAATGAAAAATTAATTAATTTTAAATAATTTTTTAAACGACATTTTAAACTCTCAATACACAATAAAGAGCATTGCGGTGACAGTGTCAATGATGTGCTGACAAATTTACGATGAATAAATCATCAACGCTACTTGAAACAAGAAAGTAAGAAAAATTGGGATCAAAAGGGATGATAAATGGGGTAGGTCGACGTGGAGATGATGATCAAAGAATTGACAGAAGAGGAAAAAGGGAGTGGAAATCAAGGGATCCATGAAGAAGTTTTTGAAATTGAAAAATGAGAAGGTTGTAAAAGGTGGACGTGATTTGAAAACTAGGAACTTCTCATGGAACAATCAAAAAAAATTAAAACCATCTAATTGAACACCTCAAAGAATGTTGTTTTCCTGAGATTATTTCATCATTTATATTTCACATATTTTGTTCAGTTATGTAACTAAAAACTAAGTTAGATTATAAATTATCAATAAAACATAATCAAATTAAACTTTAATTTACCAATTCAAATAATTTTCTTGTATGTATGCATGAATTTGTTTCGACATTTTCATCGCAACGACATTTTCAAAAGTATATTACTTATATATTTAGATATGATGGTTAAAATTGATCAATTATAGACTAATTAAGCTACGATTAAAGTCTTATTTACTAATTCAAAAAATTTACATCAATATCTATAATTTCCATGATTTTTTCGAAATATCCATCGACATGTCCGTAAAATGGGGACCTGGATTTTTAGGTTAAAACATAACTCTTAATTAAACAGGTTTTTTAATCAAGTTTTTGTGTTCATTTCTTTTTATTGTAATTTAACAAGCAATAAACACTTCATGAATAATTTGTACCTAATAAAAATAAACTTATGAAAAAAGCAAGTAAGAAAATCTTATTTTTCGAAATCTTTTATATTAGAAGCTAACAATTTTTTGTTTACGTAATAAAATTATTAATTCAAACACTCATATTTAAAAATTGAGAAATTGTAATGGATAGCAAAATTTGTTTATGTATTTTAAAATATGTCACATGTTTTTTAAATTTTCAAATATAACAAAAAAATTTTACTTATATCAGTAGTATATCATATACTCATATGAGTAGTGTATCAAACACTCATATATGTAGTATATTAGATATTGTCCAGATACTCATATCAATAGTATATCACATACTATATTATAGATATATATCATTTGGGTAAAGTTGTCACTTCTAAAATTAATGCTCCGTCTTTTTCTTTTTTAAGTGCTATATCTAAAGAAGGAAAGTTTGCAGTTAATTAATTTAGATTACTATATAAATTAGTTTTAGTTATTTATAATTAACGATGTAATATGATAATAATAATAATAGTTTTTTCTTTTGCTGAAGAAAGAAAAAAGAAAAATCTGCGGCGGCTGTTTTCTTCCTCGTTTCCAAAGCAAGCAAGATCCAGCAGCCAAAAACTGCGTCGGCCGGCTCAGCCTATGTTGCCAAGAACTCGGAACTCTTCTCAGCATTTCTTAGTATCAATTCTCTGATCCTCTCGCACGGAGCAGCTGCTCCTGCTCTTGTTCTTGTCGATGGATGTGAAACGGACTGAGAGCCCGATTTATGCTCGCCAATGGAGCAGCGAATCGAGCAGCACCGGTGGTCCCGCATCGCCGGCAATGTCGCCAGCTCGCGGCCATCACGCTCGATCTTCCTCCGTTTCTGGAATTTCCAACATTAAGCGCACTCAGAACTTCGCTGCAAAAGCTGCGGCTCAGCGGCTAGCCCAGGTCATGGCTTCTCAGACCGCCGATGACGATGAGGATGATCAAGATGACTTAGGATTTCGTTATAGTGCTCCTCCTCCTATTTCATTGTCTAGGAACGTTAATAACGGTAGTAGACTTGCTGTTCCTTCTTCCAAAACCACTAGATCTCCCTCCCCCGGGGTAAGTTGAGCTCTATATCTCTTCAACCGCGCTAAGCACGAGGCCGATAGATTTATGCTGTAGCTCACGCCGACTAATTTTCCTCTTCTACTTCTCTTTTATGCTTCTTTGCACACTGCTTCTGCTCTCTGTTTATGACTGAATTTTGCTAGGAGTAGGTCTGCTCGGTGTAAATGTTCGATAATATTTGTTCTGCGTAACTTAATACTTGCCTTTTGGACTTTTGTTTTAAATATAGATCCACGCATCATGCCGTTCAAAAATTGTATTTCTTTTTGCGTAAAACTAGCAGGACTTCCTAATAAATGCTCGCTCGGAGTATTCCGTTTGTTCTGGAAATGTAATTACCATTTTTTTTAAGAATAAGACCGCAGCTGATAGCAAACGGTTAATCGAATTTTCCTTTTTCGTTTTCTGATTAGTTAGCTCGGAATTTTTTAGAGGACACTTCTTCTGTTCGTTCCACTTCAGCAGGAAGATCATCAATATCTCACCTTTCCCTGCCAGTGGCTCCACCCAAAACAACACTGAGGACGGCAACTTCWATGCCACCTCTAGATCCGCCTACTAATAATTATAGAGAAAAAAGGTAAATCATTTTGGACTATGACATAGTTTTGATCCCTGTGATTTATCTTTTTCAGACCAGACGTATGTACTCATTTCAGTTTTGTATTGTTTGTCCCTTTGTTTGAAATTGAAACAGAGTTCAAACGAATTTGATTTGAAATAAGTTCATTCTTGTTTCTTTTTTTAGTTTCTTCAATATATAGGAAAAGAAACATGTTTCTTTTCTTTCTATTGTTACTTCAAAACCTGATAATTGTTACAGGAATTGTTGACTGTTTAATTGTTTGGTTAAAGTCAAGGGATTTCTCAATCTGGTTATGATTAAGAGAAAATTTCTGTACTGTTTGAAACTTAAAATTTTTGTTTGCCCTTTCGCATTTATTGCTGCCACTTCTCTCGACGTGTAACATTTATTTTCCATATTTTTATCTATTACTGGTATCTGCCGATGAAAATGAGATAATTATGAGTATGATACCTACTATAGTATAGAAGTATTTTGCATCCTATCTGAAAGTTGGTGATTGGTAAATTGAATACTGCAGATTCCCATCGGATCTAGTGCGTTTCAATACTAAAGATTCAGGAGATCAGCGAGAAGCTTCTGCAATTCGTGATGAAGTATGTCCATCACATTATTGTTTCATGTGTCTGAATCATTTGTCTGACTATGTGTCCATCAAGAAAAATTGCACTTTTTTCCAATCTCCGAGTACTTAAAAGTTTTCAATTCTCTGTGTTGTAGCTTGATATTCTACAAGAGGAGAATGAAAACATTCTGGAGAAGGTGCTTTGATTTTTAAATTCTCTCTCTTTCACTGGTTTTGAGCATTTCATCAAATACCTTTTGTTCTATAATATGTATTTGGGTGTTGCAGCTCAGACTTGAGGAAGAACGATGTAAAGAAGCGGAGGCCAGAGTTAGGGAACTTGAGAAGCAGGTAATGGATATGTCTTTGCAGTGTAATTTTCACTAGTCCTGCTTGTCTTTTGCTTTGTCATGGTTAATATTTTCTCGGCAGAAACTTGGATACGTAACATAATGTGATTTTGAATTTGAATAACAGCATCAAGGATAGTCACCTGTTAAGAAAGAAAAGGAAACGAGAAATTAAGTATAACCACTMTTAAGAAAGAAGAGGAAATGAGAAATTGTTAATATATTGTCATGTGGTGAAAAAATAAAAGGATAAAAAAGGATCTGAAGACAAATAAAAAGCTTAGAGGAAGGATTTTTGTGTAAGAAAATGAGTAAAAATAGCATTGAGGTATTAAAAAAACTAAAAAGAAAAAGAAAAAGAAAAAATAACTATGGACTTCATTGAGGTTAAAAAAATTGCTTCTGTAATTCTTTGTTTGTATTTTCTATTTTTCATATGCTTTTCTGGTTCCTATTGGCTGGAGCTTTCCTTTTTGTATTTCCTCCATGTATTCTTCCATTTGTTTTCTGTGAAAGTTGTTTTTCATGTATATAAAAAGTGTTAAAAAAAAGTGGGAGCTTTTGTGAGGTTGCTTTACCTGATATACTAGATGCCAAAGTTAGTTTGTTGAGCATTAGAGCCTAAGCGTCAGCCTTTAAAACGGGATTAGTCTTTCTATACTAATTATTTACTTTTGTCTTCAATGCTGATCAATCCATGAAGTTTCCAAATTCGAGCTTTTAAAAACTAATGCTCGAAATTGTTTCATTGATCTTTAAAAAAATCTGCAGAGGTCTCTTTGTTGTATACTCCTTTCAAAATTTAATTCTTTTTCTCTAATCAAGGAATAGTGTGATCGATGGTTTCAATTTATTTGTCTTCAATGTTTGTTTTCATGATCATTGAGATTTTGGTCTTGAAATTCAATTCTACTTTTGTACTGCGGTGATCACATACATGGGACTGATGTGTTTCTAAACTGTCAGGTTGCTGCTCTGGGAGAAGGTGTTTCTTTAGAAGCTAAACTTTTGAGCAGGTCAAATGAAAGTTTAACCTTATTTCCTTGGATTATTTTCCTTCTTAATGCCTGCATCATATGATATCTTGTGCTACTAAAATAATGCAGGAAGGAAGCTGCATTACGTCAGAGAGAGGTATTTACAGCACCAGATGTGTACTACTTATGATCACGTAAATAGGGAAGATTAGTTCTCACCATTGAAATACTTAGCAAGGTTGCTAAGATATTGACTTTCTTTCTCTAAGCTGCCTTGTTAGATTTTAATGATCAAATGGTGTTTTGAAGAATGATGGAAATTATTATCTGTATATGATCATTGGTTCGTATGCATGAAACAAATAAAGAAAAAAGCATTATGTCTGATGGTACTTTCATTTTCACAGGCTGCACTTAAAGAAGCAAAACAATCGAAGGATGGGGGGGACAAGGAAATTGAATCCCTTAAATCAGAAGTCCAGGTTATATTCTTGGCAACCTTTTGACRTCCAGAACATTAGACATAATTATCTTCACCTATTTAAAATAGTGCCGCTCATAACCATTGTGCCTTGGTCTCTTATTTCTAACTTAAATTAGAAAGCAAAAGACGAGACTGCGAGTGTTGTTCAACAGCTTCATGGAGCTGAACATGATGTGAAAGCTCTTCAATCTCTGACACAAAGAATGATTTTGACTCAGAAAGAGATGGTTTGTACTTGCTTTACTTAAGTAGCTAGTCGTGTCAGTTTGCATTTAAAGATGAATGATACGGCATTCCTTATTTCAGGAAGAAGTTGTTCTTAAAAGGTGTTGGCTTGCTCGCTATTGGGGCCTGGCTGCAAAATATGGTAAATCAGAGAACGTGCTATTTCATTTATTCTTTTATCTTTCTATTCTCTATTTTGAAGATTGAATTATACATGGTTTTCCGTATGATGAAGTTTTTAGTTGAACCTAATTGAAATACCGTGTTGCTTGTTTTTTGCATTATATCATACCCATAGTCAGGAAATGTAAATAGCTTAATTAGTTGGAATTTTACTTCAGCATCTATCAAACTGGGTTTTGATCTATTGTAGAACATCGGCCTCTCTGTATTTTACTTGTCTTTTCTTATTGATCTCTAGGGGGTGGCAATAACTTCTTGCAGTTCATTAATCTTGCTTGTTGCCTTGCAAAATCTATTTTTCCATGTTTTCCAGGCATTTGCATGGACATTGCTATGACAAAGTACGAACACTGGTCATCTTTAGCACCACTCCCATTTGAGATTGTCATTTCTGCGGGGCAAAAGGCCAAGGAGGAATTTTCTCAACAAGGCAAGTGCCTTTTGGTGCTTGCAGGTTATTTATTGAGCTTCCTGCCACTTCCCACTCACAACAATGGGCTATAACTTATTTTATGATTGCATTACCTAATTAATATTGTGTTATCCCACCCCATAATGCCATTTGCATTTACCAGGAGACCTAGACCCTGAGAAAAGGAGCGGATTTGTTCCTGATATAAGTGACCTCACTGGAGAAGGAAATATCGAAAGCATGCTATCTGTTGAAATGGGTTTGAAGGAACTTGCTTCCTTGAAGGTTACTTTCTGATGCAATTACTC